ATTTATTAATGGCCCAAGCAAAGATTCTAAAAGCTTCTATATTTATGAGTTCATTACAACTGTATAGCATGTTTTTAATACTTGAATATGACATGGATCTCACATTTTTTTAGTCTTTTATACATTTGTAATGCCCTAGTAGTAGAACCTATATAAATTAACTTGCAGCTAACACACCTATATTGATACATGATATTCAATTTTTGATAGATAGATATTAAATATTTGTATTTAAAATACTATATTCTACACACTGCCTTAAATGTACATCTCAATTCTACTTGTGAATAATTCTGATGAGATATTTTTCTTAACAGATTTGTAATATTTATCACCTACTTTCTAGTATAGGGTAAAAAAAAGTTTTTGTTTATCTACTTCCCAAGTGAAGGATGTTGGACAAACCTCCTTTTTTGAATATTCAATATTCATGAGTAATTTTAATAACATTTTTTGGAAAAGCATTTGTTTATTAAAAATTCCTTAATAGTTTGTATCTTATAATGAAATACTCATGATTACTGGTTAACTTTTATACTCAATGAAGCAGTATTTTTTTATCAAGATTTTCTTGAAAGATATTAGTATAAAACTTTCAAAGTTAAAATATAATCCTGTAAATGTCTTATTTATGGAAAATATTCAGTTTTTCATCATTGTTATAAAGAAGAAAAGCTAAAAAAAAAGGAAATTTGTGATTATGTGGTGTTTAAATTGAGATTGTTTAAAAAGAACTGGAATCAAAGTAAGAGAAATTAGCAAACAAGAAACCTCACAACCCACGTATTTTTAAAGGGCAGACCTTTCTTATTCAGGATAATTTGGCTTTCACAACTGAAGAAGGAAGATCTACATTTGAAAAGTGCTCGAGTTATCAGGTTTGTAATTTTGTAAAATATATGAAGAACCACAACTTAACTAAATATTCATTGTAAAATACAGAAGAAAAAATATGCTGTATCAAAATTAACTCTAATCTATAAAGATGGTTAATGCTATAGTGTCACACGTATAATTACTGAAATACTATCAAGATTAAGACAAACAAAACCTAAGTTACTGTACACCAGAACTTACCACAATCAACTTCATCAGAAAAATCATTACAGTCAACCCTGCCATCACAATGTCTCCTTATATCAATACAAGACCCATCATTACATGTAAACTGAGTAGAAGAACATCTTTTTGAAGGATCTAG